GGTTTAGGGTTTAGGAGGGGTAATATTACCCATAGATTAGGGTTTAGGGTTTAGGAGGGCAATATTACCCACATGTATTAGGGTTTAGGGGGGGTAATATTACCCATATATTAGGATTTGGGGTTTAGGAGGTTAATATTACCCATAGATTAGGGTTTAGGGTTTAGGAAGGGTAATATTACAAATAGATTAGGGTTTAGGGTTTAGGAAGGGTAATATTACCCATATATTAGGGTTTAGGGTTTAGGAGGGTAATATTACCCATGTATTAGGGTTTAGGGTTTAGGAGGGTAATATTACCCATATATTAGGGTTTAGGGTTTAGGAGGGGTAATATTAACCATACATTAGAGTTCAGGGTTTAGGAGTGTAATATTACCCATAGATTCGGGTTTAGGGTTTAGGAGGGTAATATTACCCTCATATTAGGGTTTAGGGTTTAGGAGGGTAATATTACCCATATATTAGGGTTTAGGGTTTAGGAGGGTAATATTACCCATATATTAGAGCTTAGGGTTTAGGAGGGTAATATTACCCATATATTAGGGTTTAGGGTTTAGGAGGGCAATGTTGGGGTTCCATTTGGGTATATTGGGGTTGTATTTGCAATGATGGAAAGTGGAAACCAGGACAAACGAGGTTTGGGGTCTAGATCTTGGAGTCTTGGGCTAAACTTTCTGTTGAGGTTCAAGACTTTCGGGCTTGGGCTTGTTCAGAACTTAGTTTGGGGGGGTAAAGGGGCTGAGAGCTGAAAAGCCATGCGATTAGCCCATAACATGCCTTTATTCTACCTACTCTTCGGGTTCAGGTAGGGCTTGGGGTTCAGAGAACGACTTTAAGCATGCACCTCATGCTTCCTTCTGAACATTACCCACCTAGCAGCACTTGTGGGCCACACTTAGACGTCCCTTCGCTACCAGGCTACCATTGGATCTTGCATAAGCGAAGTTGCGACTGGTGAGCGGTTAGGGTTTTGGGGTGTTGCATACACAGAAACCTAAGGCCTTGGACCCGCCGGTAAGTGAGGGGAAAGCAAGAACCCTAAACCCTGAACCCTATAGGGGCTTAATGACCCCGATAATGGAAAATCACATGAAAAGAAAATGGAACATGAAACTGAAACAGGGATTATAGACGTAAGCGGTTCATATGGACAAGTTTAACCCCAAACAATACCGACCCGGAGCCCTAAACCCTAAACGTCCTGTCAGGAGCATGGGCTATGAGGCTGCAGTCTGTTCCGCTCTGTTTTCTTGCCGCGCATACTCTGGTATGCTGTCTACCCAACCTGCCACACTACAGCTGATGGAACGAAGCTGCCCCATCATGTCTACCTCAACCCCTAGAAGCCCTGGTCGTTGGGCATGACTTTTCCACCAATCAGGGGAGGAGCCAAATACGTGGGTGCTCCGAGGAGTGGTGATTTTGGGGTCATGTACCCTAAGGGTCTATGCACCGAATAATCATATACTTGCCCCCAAACCTGTACTATGCTTACTATTACCCAAATCCCAAATACGCAATTATTGGGGACCTGGACCCTAAACCCCTAAACCGTATATATCCCCACATGTTCCTCAAAAGGCACCTAATCATTGGGTACTTGGACCCTTTGGGTTTGCGAAACGCCCACTTCGAGCCCTAAACCCTAAACCCTAAACCCTAACCTGAAACCTACCCCCTAAACCCCAAACCCTAAAGGGGCTTCAAGGACGCCAGGAAGGATCGCAAGGCCGGCGGAAGCTCAGCCTTGACAGGGGGTTCATGGTTTAGGGTTTAGGGGTCTGGGTTTGTAAGGTTTTGGGTTAGGGGGCTGAAAGTTTGAGGTTTGGGGGTTTAGGGTTCAGAGTTTATTGGAGTTTGCGGTCCACAGCTTGAGGTTTAGGCCTTTCGGCTCGGAGTTTTGGGGGCCGCTGTCCCCTCTTGGTTCCTTCTCGAGAGATGCAAAAGCTACGCCCCAAACTGCGACTAAAACCCCAACCCTAGACCCTAAACCTTCTACAAAGGCGTTGTATATGTTCATATGAGAACCTTTACTCAGATGTTACTGGGTGGGGGCAGTACCTAACCTCAACCCTACAAGCCCTAAGGCCTAAACCTTACCCGAAGCCCTGAAAACCAAGAACAAGAGACTATGCACACCAGGTTAAAGGCCAGTACCTGCCAAGGCCTTGGTAGAACCACTTTTAAGTGGTTTTGTGGCCTTCAAGCATTGAGTGGGCACATATTGCAGCTTCCAGGTTTTAAAGGCCGGGCACCCTCAATCTTAATGTACGGATCCCCGAAAAAGGGACTGACTTTGCCGCGCCCGAACTCTGAGAACCCAAGCCTACAATCCTGGAACGTAGGAAGCTCAGGAATCAGATTGGACATCTAGAATCACACTTGATTGTCCGGCCGAGACTTCTCCAACCGTGGCTGTGTGCAGGGATGCCAAGTCAGTACTTTGCAGTGAGGTTCAGTCAGGTAGCAGGAGATGGATCCCAAAGGTTTAGGGTTAGGGGAAGAGGGAACATGCATCCTGCCTCGAGGCAGACTTGACGTGCGTCCAAGTCCATGAGCTTCCTTAGATTCGCAATTGGAGGGTTGAGGGCTTTAGAGTTTAGTTTCCGGAGGCTCTGGTTTAAACAAAGACAACGGTCTCAACGTGCTCAACGAAGGCCTTCTGGGGATTTGTGGGTTTCTGGCTGGGAGACTGCAGCAGAAGTTGACGACACATGTCTGCCTCAGAGTCTGATGCTTCAAGGTTTAGGGTTTGGGGCTTAGGGGTTAGGCTTGTGGGTTTGGGGTTTAGGGTTTTGGGTGTAAGGTTTAGGGTTTAGGGTAGTTCCTTTAATTGAATCTGTAGACCCTAAGCCTGAGCCTTTAAACTCACAATCCTTATCCCTTCAAGCCTAAACCCTTTTACCCCTGTACAGTGACAGTAGCCCTTATGCCCAAGCCCTTAGGATCCGAAAAACTCCAAACTAGTGCCGGCAGTGCTTTTTTTGGGTGGTTGAACCAAGCAAGATTCTACTGTTCCTGGAGAATGCTCTATACCAAAACGAAATGAGCCCTCTCGATCAGCTTGCTGCAAGCTTCAACAATAATTCAGAGAACTTCACCCCAAAATCCTGAGGGTGCAAGTGCCAGCATCATACCTGACGATACTTTGCGGGGCCTCAGTCTATACCACTGTGGTGCTTGCAGCCTTTGGGTAGCCTGAAGTGCAAGCCGAGCTTCAAACGGCAACAGTGTAGGAACAGACGAGGACCTGGCTGCAGTGGTTAGGCTTACAGCTTCCAAAGAAATAGGAGCTTCGCGAACTGTATAGCAATATCTCAGAAAATCCCTTGTGAGGACTATACATACCCCCTTTAATCATCTCATTATCCCTCTTTATCCTTCAAATCCCTAGGATCCCAGCAGGATTTGCCGGGAGTTGAATGACACACAGCCATTCTCTGAAGATGGCGTTGCAAGGTGCGTGAGTAGGACCAGCAGAGGTCGTGCTTACAAGTTTGTCAACTTAACTGCGCATTTGAGGCCCTGTACTGCCCATGTCCTGCTCAAGGGATAAATCTTGATGCAGCAAGCTGGGAGTCCCCAACCCAAGCCCAGCATGATTCCAAACACTTCGGCTGACATCCCAAGACGGCGGAATCAAAGACCCCGACAGCCTGCAAGTAAACTTCCCTGCAGTTCCGCAGCAGTCACCCGAACCGTTACAAGCCTCAGTTCGAACCTAGCTAGTTCAAAAGCGAAATGCATCCCAATTCCAAGGATTACCTGGATCTATTAGTCTCCAAGGTCAGTCTCTCAAGGTTATCTCGCAGCTTACTGTGGAGCCCTGCTTGATAAAGGCCGCTCTTGGAAGGATCCCAACTATGAGGGCATCCCAAAGCGCCTATGCACAGAAGGCCTTGAAAACCGAAAAGTCCTCCATTTCAGCCCTGGCTCAAGCCGCTACACCCCGAAACCGTCAACCCCGGGCGACAAAAAATAGTACCGCAGCAGCTGGGGACCAAACATGTCGGCAGTTTTCTCGAACCGCCTTGGTCGTTTGTTGGTTTCAGGGTTGCAGCTGTGTCTTTTGTGTTTCAATGTTTTCAAATTTGAGGGTGGAAGCTTACGTAACGTTTTAGGGGTTTAGGGTTTGGGATTGATGGCCTATGGTTTCGAGACTTCCGGGTTTGGGTTTACGGGCTTGCAGCTGCGGGGGTATACGGTTAGGGGACCAAGGCTGAAGTGTAAGCCTTCAAACTTTCAAGGGCTTCAGAGCATCTTAAGGCTTCCAAAGGGTCATAAGGTTCAGGGAAGGCAGCACCAGCGCGTCATATTACGGAAGGCAGCACCTACGCGACATAATACGACGGACTCCTTTGATCCCCTCAAATTATTATGAATTTGACTGTTCAACGACCACGCACTGAGATGAGATTCCTTGCGCTTTGAATGAAAAAAAGAGACCCTAACGTGCTGCAGCTGTGGAAATTCTACCGGCTAGAGGCCGAGAATCCTCAAAGGAATGAACTGGAACCCAACAAAATATCAAGAATTGAACTTGCAAGGCCGAGCACACAGCCCTAATCTTAGACCCGGCCTTAAAATGGAAAATCTGCTTGTGTTTCTGCGAGCCACCGTAGATCGCATCGCCCAAGATGGGCCGTGCAATGCTTGCCATGTGAGCCCGGATTTGATGCATGCGTCCTGCGAAGCATTTAGATGTAGGAGAAACACGCTTTTTGTGCAATACAAATTCAAGGCCTAAACAATTACCACATATGTTCCTGACGTCTAGTTTAAAAAAATCATATAATATTACAAAGAATCGAAAACCCACCTCACAATTTTGTCCCACAACGTCTGCCTAAACCCTCGACCTGAAGCCCTGACATCCAATCAAGGGTTCCCATATCATTCCTCTGTTAGTTTTGTTATGGGTTCTTGATAAAGGATGATAAGATACTACCCGGAAACGAACTACATGAAAGGGTCTGGGCAAAGCTTACCCCTTTAACAACCCGAAATCAACACACGAGTCCTGTGAGTGGATGAACAGACAGCAAAGTCAGCACTGACTCGCCTCCAGGCTCTTTCGCCGTCTACGTCAACACAGAAAAATTTACCCTGAGCGGGGTCGAGAGATCTCAAGTACGCCTTTCGGACATTTTATTTCAGGAATCCCCCCAGGCAGCTTTGGGAAGGCAAGGGGAGAAGATCCCAAAACACGTCCTTGGAACATGTCTATAATGACGAAACCGAACGCTGTCAGCTGCACGGATGGAAGGCTAGGACCAAAGGCTACGCATCGATCGCTGTTTTATTATTAGGGAAAAGCTGAATGGATTCCGATAGAAGTCCCCCATGTAATCACCTATGATAATCACCAACCCTTCTAACTCACAACTTGAAACCCAAAGATTAAGGCTTAAGCATGGTTGCCTGAGTCGGTTGAAATACACGATTTGGGCCTACTACTGTCAAGTCAGCAACGTATGGACCAAGTTGTCAACATGATAACACCCATTTTCCGATCCCTGAAAGCAGCCATCTGGACTTTGAATATTAAAATGCAGCAAATCTAGGGCTGTTTTTCTTCCACAGCAAGTCAGAGCCGTGTCCGCGGAGCAAGCGGTGGAAGACAAAGAAACCACCAGCAGCGTTGAGGCAGAAGCATCCGACGAAGAAGGGTTGGGCCAAGAACCGATGCCACCTATGGAACCTGGTGACTGCAAAGACAGGCTTCAAGATCATCTTTTGTCTTTTGCAGTCTCAGACTTTTCATTTTGGCACACGAATTGATGACAATGTGTTCGGCAGCTTTGCTTGCAGGCGCTTGAACAGTGTCAGACCTGCATGTGTTGTCAACATGCCTTCAACAGCAAAGATTTTCATGAGTGATTGTTGACATGAGCATGTGCATTTCAAGGCCAGGCTCAAACCAGTGTCATAGGTTGAACAGTTTGTAAGCCATAGAGGACCTGGCCGATACCATCTACCAGACCCAGACTACAAGAAGGGAATTGAGAAGGGCAAGTCACGTCACCCTAACATCAACACAATGAAAGAGCGCAGCATTGGATTTTTGCATTGGCAACTCTACCTGCTGAGCATCCCTGAACCGGATTACCAAGAGATGGTTTCTGATTTCCGCATGAGAATCATGCTTGCCAAGGAACCTGCGCATGTGGCGTCAGGTGGCGCAATTCGGAGAACTTCAATTCCAGGAAGATTTCCAAGATGTTTTGCTTCATGTGCTTTAAACTGGACGGTCGGAGATGAAAGCGAGCCTCTGCGACAAGTACGACCGTCTCGACCTAGACCAAGTTGATAGGGACTGAAGTGACCCTGATTGCACGAGCAAGCACAAAGAGAAGCAATATGAAATACTGTCCCATCTTGCGTTCCGAGCATCTAGCTGTAACTTCGTCTAAGGTTTGGTGTTTAGGCTTAGAGGCCGTCAGTAGTCAGGCTTCGTCTTTTTGTTTAAATCTTGAGGGCCTCCACACCGGTCGGGATTCAGGGCTCGATTGGGGCCTCGCCAAGTTGATGCAACTATTCAAAAGCGCAAGGTTCCTAGCAGACTCGATCCAGCAGTATCCCAGAACATGAGAAAGTGCACGTGGCGGCATGTCTGAACACGAACTCGCCATAAAGTTGACGTGCTCCCTCAAGTTCCAACAATGCGCTGAGCTAGGCAAAGCGTGGTGGCCGGTCCTCCGGCGGCAGCCCAAGGGTAACCTCTGGCAAGATGTGTTTCCCCAGTGTGCATTGTATATCAACCTACAAAGCCCAGAATGGCCCTGCGGCGAATACTTGACACGCTAAAGCAGAGTTTTGCCAATCTTTCTATAAAATCCTTAAAGTGTACCCTTGCAATCTCTGTATGATCCCTGCATGCCCTGTGGATCCCTACATGGACCCCCCCCACCCAGCACCATCTCCCGGCAAATGAAGATGGCAGGGTCATGACTTTTTTTGGGGCTGGATTACCAAAATCCGCCTTTTGCTCTAGGCCTTAACACTAGCTGAAACTCTCAGCCCAAAGCCCAAGCCTGCAAAACCCTAAGCCCGAAGTCCTTCGCTTTAAACTACACGGCCTTGCCGAAGGGCTTGGAAGAGATGATGAGCCCTGAAATCCAACAGACTATCTGGGTCACCACTTCGGGTTTGGAGTTTTGGGCGCGCTGGCAAATTCTCACTGTCCATTGTCATTCCATTTGGGATTCAACATCGGAAGAGCCTTCCCTAGCACACCAGCGGCAACGATATCAAGCAATACCTTCAAATTTCTGCGCAGCAAAGCCAAGCTTTGCAAATATGTCTATAGAATCTCTGAGCGTCGCTACCATGACGCCAAAAGTATACCGTGGCTTTGCTGGCCGAAGACTGGTGCAGGACCCTACGGAGGACGTTGGCCGTGGTATCTCAGAATCTAGTCTAGGAGGGCCAGTGACACTGGCATCCCACACACGAGCAGACTAGCACCCTGCTATTTTGAATTTCGACAAATTTCGCGCGTAGACCCTCCAAGTGCTGCAGCTTTGCGCCTTGCTGCTGGACGAGAACCTCGACCAATGCTGCGGTTCCCAAGCAGCAGTGGGAAAACCATACACTCTGCTTCAACGATGACTTCTTTTTGGAATGTTGGCCGTGACTGTCGCTACGGTGCTTCTAGAAGTATGCCGTCACATACTACTGCTTTGCTTGCCGAAGACTGTCGCGGGACCGACAAGGAAGTTGGCCGTGTTATCTCAGAAGGTAGTTTCGGAGGGCCACCGACACTGGCATCCCACGCACGATAGCACCCGTGCTATGTTGCACTTCGGTAAATCTCCACGTAAACCCTTCAAGCAGGCCTCCAGGTGCTGCAGCTTTGCACCTTTGCACCTTGCTGCTGGACGAGAACCTCGACCAATGTTGCGGTTCTGGACAACAGTAGAAACAAATACACTCTGCTTCAACGATGGCTTCTATTTTTGAATGTTGGCTGTGAGCGTCGCTACGATGCCTCTAGACGTATGTCGTGACATCCGGGGCTTTGCTTGCCAAAGACTTGCGCATTACCTACAGAGGACGTTGGCTGTGCTATCACCAGGGAGGGGGGTTTAAAAAAAATAAGGATCAGCAAAAAAACAAATTAGTATCAACAAAAAAAATCTGGATTTTATAGTAAAACACAGTATTTCTGGCCTCCCGAGCAGGGATCAACAATAATCAAAATTTTCGAGCCCCAGGCCGGAGGAGGAAGGAAAGAAAGAAAGAAAGAAAACAGGAAGAAATAAAGAAAGAAAAACATAAAGAACACAATAAATACATGAAGACGAGGAAGGAAGGAAAAGAGAAAGAAAGAAGCAACGAAGGAAAGAAGGAAAGAAAACAACAAAGAACGACAACACGATGTCTTGGCTCCCTGGATTCTTGGCTTTTTAACTTCTTGCCTTCTTGGCCTCCTGGCTTCGCACTCTGAGGCTTCTTGAGCCCTTAGCATTCTGGCTACTATGACTGT